GCGAAAGAAACAATTATTTAATGGAAATTTTTATTATGCATTATTTTTATGAATGACCTACAATTACAACTATCTTTAGGCAACGCAAGCATTAAAACAATGTTTGTCATCGAATATCACTTATGTAAAAATATCAGTAAATATTTCATATTTCCCTTAGCGTAAGTGCTTCTTCTTTCAGTTACTATTTTCCTCGTCTTCTGTTGTCTTAAACAAGCCGATCTTAATGTGATCTAACACATACAAACAAAATCCATTTATATTTTACTTTTTTTTTGCAACTAGTTCCATTTCCTTCTCAACCGACAAGTTTAATTATTAGGAGACAATCCATCTATTCTGAAAACAAATGAACCGAACCAATTCCTCATATATAACTATAATATCACAGAAATTTTTCAAAATATGCATTTGATCTTAATGATTTTCTAGTACAATTAGAACAAATAAATGATAATTACTTAGTTATTAATTTACAAAAAAAGTCTCTATCATATAATTTTCTGTCTATTATTTCAAATAGACTATTCGTACATTTTCTAAAAATAATAAATATATTTCCATTAATAGTAATGGTTGAAAGAAAATCCAATATCAAACAGCTATCCAAATGTTATTCTTTTATTAACGTTGAAAGCTCGACCTTTAACCGACTAAGAATATTTATCGTTATTTATTGAAAACAATTTAAAAATAAACAAACAAATAAAATTTATCCTTATTGATTTTATATATAAATAAAATTGTGAACTTGTTTCTCAGGGCATTCATACATATTTGGCCTGACCCCTGGATAATGATCGAGATATATCCCCTAATATGATCTCTACTAAGTGCAAGAACGATGATACAGCGAAAGGGTAGATGTCGTCATTATGTTTCTTCTTCTTTTTTTTCTTTTCTTGGCACGTATTCAAATGTAAAGTCGTTTCTTCTTCTTCTTCTTCTTCTCGTTTTTCTCTTCTTCATTTTTACCCCCTGGACAACAGAATATATATGTAGTACTGCTGTTGCATCGACCCTATAATAATTCCAGATCGTTCTCTTTATATTTAGTGGAGAAGGGCTGCTATGCTTTACAAAATTTCTCTTCTTCTTTTCTATCATAATCACGTGTCGAATGCACGATAACTAATACAAAGAGAGTGAAAAATAGATTTTCTTTTCTCTTTTTCGCTCTTTTTCTCTTGTTGCGTTCGGCGCGTGTTTTTGCTGTCTACAAAAATGGTCGTATCATTCATCATTCAGATGCGTTAGAATAAGAGCAGCACAAGCCCATTCACCAACACCATCATACGCGCCCGAGCGTTTTACAAAAAAATTTAACATCAAGCGCAGCAACAGCCCAAACGAAAATAAATCAAACATCTTTGTCGTGAACCAACCGCGCTCATTAACAAACAAACAAACAAACAAATAAATAAATAAAAACAAAATAATTATTAATTAGGTTAACATGTCATCAAACGACGTGGCAACAAACCAAAATACTGGATCAGATCAAAAATCTGATGCCAATAAACAACAAGATCAAGCCGGTTCGGGCACTGATGATCCAAAACAAATCAATGGTAAAAATGTCATCGGTAAGAAACAAGTTGTTTTTCTCTTTTTTTTTCTTCTTCTATTTCTTCATCATACTGTGCGCGTTTAATAAATGAAATGCAACAAGCAACAGCTTGTAAGATAAGATAACTAATTTTTTTTGCTGCTTTTTTTTATTCTAGCAACAAAAGTGACTGGTACAGTCAAATGGTTCAATGTTAAGAGCGGCTATGGATTTATTCATCGGTAAATTTTATTTGTAAAAATTTAATAGAAAAATTCATTTTTTTTTTTGCTTTTAAAATTTAGAGAAGATACTAACGAGGACATCTTCGTTCATCAAACAGCTATTGTTAAGAACAATCCACGCAAGTACTTACGTAGTGTTGGTGATGAAGAAAAAGTCGAATTTGATATTGTACAAGGTAATTGATTAGAAAATTTTTTTCTCATGCGTAAAAATTGCGGTTTTTTTTCTTTCGTTTAGGTGAAAAAGGTTATGAAGCCGCAAATGTAACTGGTCCTAATGGCGACAGTGTACAAGGTTCAAAATATGCAGCTGATCGCCGACAATATAATACACGTGGCAGTTTCCGTGGCGGACGAGGTGGCGGACGACCACCATTCCGTGGTCGTGGTGGACCTTTCCGTGGAGGTATGTTTTATAAATATTAACGAAAAGATAATTCTTATACATACAATATATTTGAGGTCGAGGAGGTGGTTTTGATAATGGTTATAATCAAGGTTTTGGTCAACCATTCGAAGGTTATGGTCCACCACCAATGGTTGGACGTCCACCTTTTGCTCGACCAGGTCGAGGTTTCGGTGGTCCTATGTTACGAGGTATAGAAAATTTTTATTCTTGTTTTAGTAAATTCTAATTTAATTTATTTAGGTCGTGGACGACCACCACTTCGAGGTGGCTATGGATATGAAGGCGATTTTGCCGGTAATTTTGTTTTTTGAAAGATTATTTGAAAATGAATTAAATGTTGATATTTTATTTTTTTTGTTTTAGGTCGAGGACCACGTGTCTTTCGTGGTCGAGGTGGTCCAATGTTAGGCGGTCCAATGGGTCCTATGCCAGGTCCAATGGGTCCACCAATGGGTGGTAAGTATTTTTTTTTTCGTCTAGAAAATACGAAATAATTAATCATGTTATTTAGGTTTTCGTGGTCGTGGTGGACCTTTCCGTAGTCGTGGCCGTGGTCGTGGACGATTCTTCCGCGGAGCTCGCCAAGGAAACCGTAATGATACAAACAACGATGTAAGTTTTACTTTTATTGGAAACATAATGTTTTTAAATTGTTTTTTTTTTTTAGAACAATGACAATCAAACCGGCGGTCAAGATGGAGGTCAATCATCAGTCTAAACAACCGTTTAAGAAAATAAGAAGAACTATCAACAAAAAAAAAACAACAATAACAACAACAACAAAAATAAAAAGCGTCGTTTTTATCTTTTTTTTTTCTTCGTCACTATTTTATTCTCTAAACCATTCTGGTCATTGTGTTTGTGTTTAACTTGTTAGTTTTCTTCATGTTAAAGTCGAAATAATAAGCCTTTGTCCTGTTTATGTCGTTGATTTTGTTTGCGTATTCGTGAGAAACATTGTAACATCTGACATGTCATTTATCATTATGTCATGTTTCTCGTTTTAGTTTATCTTTTTTTTTCTTTTTGTGAATGAGTGAGCAGAAGTTATGAAGAATAAAAGAATCAGATGAAGAAAAATGAAAAACATTTTAAATAAGAAAACTTGATTAAGGTTTACAAGAAGTGGTTCATCACACTTATCTATTGATGTAAAGACCTTAGCATAAAAAATGATGAATCTGTTAGATTAACGAGGGAATTATACCAGCTGACGTTCGCTGTTTGAACTCATATTACGTTCATGAAGAATAGAGTCCATTGAGTTTAAAATTTTTGAACCAAGTCGAACCTTACTTTGATACTCAATGAAAATTTCTTATTGGTATTGGATAATCGCCAAGCAGTGGCGGATCTAGAATTTTAGAAGAGAAGGGCGATTTTCGAAAGATGCGACGGTTATAGGCAAAAATCACTTTTTGAGACTTATGCGAGGTAGTAAAGACCAGTTGTTCGTACGTTTTTGCTGAGAAAAAACAAAAAAAATCTCTGGAAGGGGAGGCGATCGCCTGATCGCCACCCCCCTAAATCCGCCACTGTCGCCTAGAAGATGCGTGATAGTTTTTCCTATTCGGTGAACAGTACATCCTAAAGATTTCTCAGATAACTAGAGACTATCAAATGCAAAATTTTCACATCCAGACAAAATTCGATGGGCTCTAATAAGGAGGTTTCGATGAGATTATTAAACATCTAACAGAGTTTTGGTTCATAGGCTTTCAGCACTGAATTTTGACTGGTTTACTATAATTTCGATCTAAAATTTCGTCTGTAAATAGGTCTAATGAGTCTTAGAATATATCCTCGTCAAGATATTGAATTTCCAAATGTAGCTCCTTGTCATGTAATATTGTCAACGTTATTATACCTATTGATGTATAAAATTTTAGATCGAAATTTCGTTATTCAGTTTTTCGAGTACTACCTAAAAAGGAGTAAAAATTGTGGTTAACCGATCATTGTTCAGTGCCAAAGATCCATGAAGACGATCTCTTTCAAACGATTTCTAGTCTCATTCAGACCTCTCTCTCCACTTATGATGAGCTCGAATAACGACTGTCAGTTGGTATAATTCTCTTATAAGGTTTGATAAACAATCAACTTTTTATCAATGACTTATAGATTTTGCTTTCTATTTTTCATATCAAGCTACTTAATACTTCAAAACTTCTCGATAGAACATCAATGTGACCTTTAAAAATTTGTTGTAACGATTGATATTAATGAATAATTGAGTAAAATCGGATTCTATACAAAAAAAAGAGAATTCACGCAAAGAATCATAATGTAATTAAGTGTTGTTCATCTAAATATATTGAAATGAATACAATTTAAAAAATTCGTTTAGTTCACAACGTATGTCTAATTGAAGACAACATTTAGATTCATCACTCTCTGTCACTAATCAATAATTCATTTTTTTTTATCAAAATACGAGAGAAAAAATATACCTTTCAATTTTTTATTAAAACAATGGTTCGTTGAAAAAATATTCACACGGTCAAACATTTTCTTTTTATAATGTTTAAGAAAAAAAAAGCGTTCATCAGTACTATTCTCGAAGATTTTAGTTTATGTTCTCTTTCTTCTTTTTTTGGTATTTTATTAAATATATGTTGTTTATTCAATTTCTTTTTGTTGACATCCATCTTTATTTTACTTTCCTTATTCAATCGAGAAAATATACATGTTTTCCGTTTTATTTTTCTTGTCGGCTATAATGTTATCATTGTTTGATCAAAACAAAAAAAACAAGATTTCTTTTGTTCCATTACAAATTTTGAAAGCTGACAGTAAGATGCCGATTGCTCGACCATCTCATATTACCACGTCAACAAATGAAGAAACTCATAATCAAAATAAAACATTCTATCGTTTATTTATACAATTTCTTGCGTCGAATCTTGGTTTAGTTATTTTTGTTGTTGCCTATAGTGTTGGGGGTACATTTCTTTTTATTTTACTCGAACAATATATTGAATTACAAAATTGTCAACTAGCTAGTTGTATGTATGAAATTTTGGAATTAATGTTCTTTTAAATTCTTGTTCTTTTTATAGTAGACGAAGAAATTTCAATAGCAAGTCTATCTGAAACAATATATAATTATGTTGTTGTATCAACTGATAATACAACAATAATCTATGAGAAAATAATTGATTATTTGAATAATTTTACAAATGATATATATGATCGTAAAAGTGATTTTCGATATACAGGACAAGATTGTTCAACAACGTCAGGATGGACATTTCCATCAGCATGACTTTTTTACAACAACAGTTATAACAGCCATTGGTTTCGGACATATAACACCAATATCATGGTAAAACACACTGAAAATGACATAATAATAAAAAATTAATCATTGTTTCGAAATATTTTTAAGGGAAGGACAAATCACATGTATTTGCTACGCATTAATTGGCATTCCAATGTTTCTTATTTATTTAACAAAGATAAGTTCTATACTTGGTGATATGTTTCGTTTGATGTATTCAACATTTATTCGTTGTATTTATTGCTATTGTCGTATTCGTACACGTTCTCAAATTTGTTCAATGCATTCAAAAAAATCATTTAATCAATATATAATTGATTATGTAGGTACAACATCAATTGATCCAAGTTGGCCAGAAGCAAATGATCAATTTAATGAAGATCAATTAAGTAATTATAAAGATGATAATGTTGAAGAAATAGACGATGTTTGGAATCGAGTTGAAAGTCAAATACCTGTTTTAGTAATTATTTTAATTATAATTGGTTATGTTTGTTTGGGAGCATATATGTGTCATCAATTTGAAGGTTGGACAATAACTGAATCGGTTTATTTTTGTTATATTACATTAGCTACTATTGGATTTGGTGATTATGTATGTAATAAAAAAGAACAAGCTTTCATAGATTTATTTCTACATGTATATTTAATTAAGGTACCAGGTATAACGTCAGGTTCAACAGACGGTTTACGTTTTCTGGCTACTTCACTTTATATAATTGTTGGTTTAGCTGTGTTAGCGATGTGTTTTGATTTAATAAAAGAAAGTATTTTTGAAAAGTTCGCATGGTTTGTGTTATTTTTATTTTTTATTCCTTGAGTTTATTTTTCTGAATAATATAGGATTGCCATTAAACTTGGTATTGTTGCTGAAGATGATGATCAAATCGATAAAGACCATACACAATATGCAAATTTTGAATATTTACAACAAGGAAACATGAATAATGGATACTTAAATGAACAGTATGAATTTTATGATACACTCCCTGATTATGATTATTTCTTAACTGATGGACAGTGGTTTTCTGGTATTAAAGATAAAGTTGAAACAATGAATTAGTTTTCGAGATAAACAAGAAATTAATATAAAAATATTAAACATTAAGCCTATTATTAAACTTAAGTACATTATTTAATTATTCATAGTTATTCATACACTTTAAATTCAATGTATCATTTTTTTCCACGATATATCAATGAAATAATCCATGTATACAATTTGTTTTTATTCAAAAAATAATAAATAATATCTTTGAGATCAGTTCTCATCAAGATTGTTCTTTTTTTATGTAACATAGGAGTCTCTCCAGATGATAAAAAGCTCGTGCAGAGATCGGACCATGCGTCGCGAGTGAGAGTCTTTTGGTTACTCTCATCGATACTCTAACCTATCTTCTTGCAATTCTCTTTCAAGATACTTTAAGATTAACATGCCATCGACGAATTATCCTCGTATCGCCTTTGAAACAAGACTTGTATCATTGACGAGGGAACGTCTCCAAGTGTAACTCGCTAATAAGTGAGATCGATCAAGATTAGTAGGAGCCTTTAAAAAGTAAGTCTTCAAGCGCTGTTCTTTCTAAGTTATTACAATTTTATCTGATTTTTTTTATCTATGGCAAGGAATTTGTGTAACAATCGAACTACCAAATTTCAATCTAAAATTTGTGCATTGGTATGTCGCATGAATCTTAGAATGTTTTGAAAATTTCTGCTTAAAACGGTGTATTGTTTTTTGAAATATTGAATCTAGAAAACACTGAGCTTCCTTACGTTTTTTTTTCTAACTCATGATTGATTTTAGATATTCAATATTTCCAGAAGAAAACATCCGTTTAGGCTAGAATTTTCAGCTTGAAACTTCGTACTTTGGTTTTTCACAAATACACTCTAGGAGAAAAATAATTTAGTATAATTGCAATAGTTTTAGCAGGACAGCACTCGGAAGTCTTTCTTCGTGAGACTAAGCAAAATCTCTAATGATTCGTGATTATGTTACTTCTCTTTTAAAATTATGCACATTTTACTGAGTTTCTAGCCAACAGCTGAGTATTTGATAAAATATTCAATGTCATCATTTTACCCTAAACTTTTACCTATGACGAGGTCTTATGGATTCTATCATACATTCAAAGGTTCAACTGAAACAAATATTTTTTCTTCTTGAATTAAAAGATTTACATGAAAGTCGAATTTTTCTAACGAGAGATCTTCAAGTGAACTCGTCGATCGAACTCATCCTTCATTAACACGTAGGGTTCGGTGAATTTAGAAGAGTCCTAAAAGAATTCATTCTCAGAGGAGGATCCTTCTGAAGGTATGACTATTCAATTTTTTTTACTTGTGATTCGATACAAGCGGAAAAATCAAATGAGGAAATATTTATCCTAAAGTTTTTCCGCAAACAAGTTGCATAGTCAATACATCGTTCTGAAAATTTTGAACCAAACTGATCATCTCATCCAGAGATATTGATGCTGAAAAAGATTTACTTTCTTTTTTTTTCAATGAAAAATCATGTATTTCTCCTTTGTATGTTTGTAAATGGAATCATCAATTTCGATCAAAACTCTCCAGATGGTATTTATCGGCTGTGAAACCTGTTTCTAGATAAAGTTCCTAATATATACCTTTTCCAATTTTTCTGATAATACCGAGCCACAAGTCGAAAATCTAGTAAAAATAGACATAACTTCAGAAAGATCTCCTATATGGACATGAATTCTCTTAGAGCTCTTCTAATCCCACCGAGTCTTGAATATGAGTGAAAGATGAGCTCAATCGGTGAACTACACTTGAGGACTTTCCCTCGTGAGTCGTTTATAACAAATAGAGATTCGTTGAGGATATGATACTTGAAGAAGAAAACTTTCCATGTGTCATAAAGTTCATAAGAATTCTTCATCGCAAAAATTTAGGTCGAAATGACGATATTGAATTTTTTATGGCATACTCTGTACTAGGCTAGAAACTCATTAAAATGTCCATAACTTGAAAAGAAAAGCAACAAACGTATGAATCATTGAAGGTTTTGCCTAGTTTCAGTCGACTCAATCGAATGGCACAAGTCTCATTTGCAAAGCCGTTTGTCATTAGGCGTAACTCCCCATTACAAATTGAAAAGTTTACCGATCGATTCGTACATATATTTCTGGTCTTTAAAATTGTGAAATGAACTTCGATATTCTTGATTTATGGCGTCATCTGCTTTCACATGAGTGTCACTGGTCATTATTCTCAATCAAGCATAATCTTTATTTTCGATTAATATTTCTTTATTCTTTATGTGAAAAATGACATCGTTAAGTGTAGCTTTAAGTTTTCTTTCACATATTGGTTTTTCGCATTCTAATGCTTGTGATTTAATGAATAAAATGAATAATGATATGTCACGTTTAATGATTTGTTCAAATAAAGACCTAATTCAATATAATCTTTCACTTGATATGCGTCTTCGTGTATTACGTGCAATACGTTGTTTTCATATGGAACAATGGTCAAAATATTTAATGAATAATTTTCATAGTGATAAAAATCTAAATAATATAAGTTTATGTAATTATACATTTGAAAAATTAATTTATCATTTAGTAAAATATCATATTTGGATTATTTATACATCATGGACATTAATTTATATTCGAAAATATTTAATAATTACAAAAGATATGGATCAAGAAAATATTCAATTATTCTTTGAAAAACTACAGCGATTAAAAAATACAATTATTAGACTAAAACAGATGATTATCATGATTAAAAAACATTTATCTTAAAAGTTATATTTGTAGATAAATAAAACATTTTTATTCATTTGCAAAAACAAGAAAAATTAAATTTCATCGTTATTTATCGACTTTTGGACAAAAGTCTGTTGCTGTTGATTAGATTTCAGTGATGATAAGGGATAGAGATTGGAAAATTTGTGTGCACACACATTTTATCAGACATGTAGGTCAGCAGCAACATCAGAATGTCGCTCACGAAAGTTAAGACAAAGTTTTGATCAATGAAATCAATTTTTTCTAAAGCTTCGTAACTTTATAAGACTGCCTAATAAAGTTTGTCTTGTTTCTTATCAAATACACGATTAATGTTGAATACTTTTACATGAAAGTTAAGCCCAATTTATGGTCTTTCTTCATCCGAAAACCTAAATTTACTGACTCGAATATTATTGTTTCTGAATTCTCGACACTAAAAAGATGATTATTCGTATGTTCCATCCTTCTGGTGGAATATTTTTTTTTGAAACTTTCATAAAACAATCTCAAGATATAGAAAAGCTTCTCTAAAATTGTCAAGTTAATATATTGAACTATCACTAAATTATATAGGTCTTGCGATGAAAATGCTTGAATTTTTTCCTACATCAATGATTAGAGTGAAATGATCATAATTCTTGAAGGCATTGGCAAATCTTTATGGAGCCATCTTGCCCATACAGTCTTTCATAAATCTTGAGTTGGAACAAAATTAGTTTTTATATATTGACAGAAAATAAATCCTAATCGAATGTTTTTATATGAGCTTTGAATACTCGAGCCAGTCTTCTAAATGATATATTATTAGAATAATAACTTCTCTTATAATGGCCAAGATATAAATATGAACAATAAAGTTTTCGCGATCGATCAACGTGACTTTTTAATAAAGTACTGAATAGCTCTACATAAAAAGGTAGCGTTGTAGAAGCCAGTAATTAGTGATCTTATTCGAGTGTTCGACGCTCATTAAAATCTATTTGTTACATGTTCAGCTGAACTATGAACTCAGTAACCGAATTGAAATGCATAAAAGATATGACAACGTTCCATACAAAACGAAATACAAAGAACAAAGATTGGATTTTGAACTATTGATAAATTATTCAAATAAACGAGCTTCATTTAAATAGATTTGAAAGAAAATAAAAGTTGATGGATCATCGTGTAACATATATAGATCAATTCAATTTTTTATGCGGATTTCAAATATACCATTTCTTCTGAAAGAAAATCTAACTTATCCAGATCAAATACATCAGTCAAAAAGAGCCATGTTTAGCGTTCTCGAACATTGCACGTTTGAGTGAAATGTCTTATTCACAAATTAAGCTCCATGTAATAGTAGAATTTTGCCGATCTCCAAAAGAGTCATCGAGTAATATGTAATTTAAAGCAGATTGCTTCTCTGAGAGCATACAGATAATTGTGTCATATTTCGATATGTCATGTACTAACAGAAAGAATGAACTATCGTTTAATGTATAACTCAAAGAAAACTTTCTAAATGAACAATGCATGCCACGATTCTCTATAGAATAGGTAATATCGAGTTTTAAGTCAACCGTGCACATCCGAACTAATGATTAACTGTTTAATTCAAACATTAATTCAGTCCTAACATCCAAATTGACCATTTAGAAAATGTGAAACTTAATTTCGAGAGGAACCCAACTGTATCGTTTAATGGTCTACCCCTTCTTCTCCCCAATCTCTTTCTAAGAGACTTTGCAAATTAATAAAGAATGATGGAAATTGAGATTTTTGTATAATCATATTGACATAAGAGTAATTTTTAGTTTTTCTTTTCATAAAATATTTTGCTGATCGATTGCAAAAAATTTATGCTCATATTCTCATATCTATAATTATATTATTACCATAGAAGTTATTATCGAATAATGTGCCATTTGAACGATTTACAAGAACGCTCAAGGCTCATATAAAAACATTTGATTAAGAGTTGTTTTCGATTTGCATATACACTAATTGTATAGCCTCTTGAGATTTATAAAACATTCCATGCATAGGAAAAGGCTTGTCAAAAGCTGTACATGATAATATACAATAAAAATAGCAGTTAGCATTTAATTAAAATACTTGAATGTTCACAGTCAAAAAACGTTGAAATATAGTAAATGAGAAAAAAACTTCAATCAATGTTATTTCGATTGCACATTGAAGACGAGCTCGGATGCTATTTTGTTAACACTTATTTTCTCTATTAGAAAAAACAAACATTTCAGCTTTTAATTGATCTTAACAGAATTTAATTACAACTAAATAGGATTTACTGTTTGAAACCTTTTCTGGATTGAATTTTTTCTAAATTAATATCATTTTTTAACAGATGTTCATAGTCTTATTGAAAACTATTGATAAATTAAAATTTTCAATACAAAATTTTATTTAAAATCTAATATCAAACAAAAAAAAGTTTGTTTTATTTAATTTATTTCTCTATTACTGATTCATCAATCCCTTCAATATATTGAGTATCATCTGTATTATGCATTAAAATAGCTGCAATTAATGATAAAGATATAAATATAGTTGCAACACAATGAACACCATAAGCCCATTGAAGATGATAAATTTGTTGATGATAATTTAATGGAATAAAAATTAGTACAAACCAATCAATTACACAAACAACTAAAAGTAAAATAATTGTACATAACCAATATCGATGACGAATTGAAAATGAATTTTTTAATAATGATAAACTTCCTGTAAGAATTGAAAAAGATGCAATAAAAATTGAAAGGATAACTAATATAGCTGTTAGGGGTATTGAGAAAAGAATAATATCATGATCAAAACCATGTAAATAACATTCAATTTTTACAGATAATATTAAATTATTATTTGAATTCGAAATTTTTTCACAACTAAATAATGGTCCATAATGACCATCATTTGTTTTAATCCAAAACGATGTTAAAAAAGCAATAAATAAACAAAAACAATGAATACATGTTAAAAAAATAACAGCTACTTTTATTGGTGATGCAATCTGAACACGTTCGAATTTTGCACGAGGAGCATACATATTTTCTTCAGTTTACATTAATTGTTCTTAGTTGGTTATCATTGTTCTCTATTGACTATTGAAGCGGATTTATCCACAATAACATCATCGGAGTAAATATATATATATATATATTCTATTGATTTATTTTTTGCTTTCGCTTTGCACACATCGGAAAAACAACGTTGTTCTTTTGCTTTACAGAAGCAAAAAAGACATAGATTATAAAAGTCATTTCTTATTTGTTTGTACAATCTATTTGCTTCATAGAACAATTCTTTCTGCTCAATATATAATTATTCAGAAGATGCTTCATATGAGAAAACAAGGTCATAAATGACATATAAAACAAAAAACTATTGATGATGCTTATCATAAAAAGTAACAGGTGTCAATCAATTACTATTAGAATGAATGTGATAAATATAGATGAAGGCTTATACTAACATATTTGACTTGGTTGCATAATAAAGTTAAATGTTCTTTTTTTTTCTTTTTTTGAGAATCTTTAAATAGATGAGCAAACGGGAGGTGACGAGAGATGACAAATTTATTATTAAATAGATAACAATCTACACTCTGTGTCGTTTACATACAAAATGACTGGCTAAAAAGAGACAAAAAAAGGTATTCCTAGTTAGTGTTACACTTATCAAAGATAATGCAAGCAAACAAAAATCTCTTTTTTTTCTCTTATCACACAACTCAACTTAGAAGAGTTATTATTATTGTGAAAATATTATTTAACATACCATTTTCAAATAATAAGACTCGAAGATACAAGCAATATGCTACAATTACGACCATTTCTAATAGTCATATCTTTGTCATTGTTGAAATTTTTGTATGGACAAGATCTACAATGGTGTAGCAATGGTCCTATTACGGTCCCTGATCCCAAATGGAGAAAGGTTCCACCTAGATTCGAAATTGTGACGGAATTGGTTTCAGGAAGTGAACTAATGGAACTTTCACAAGCATTTTCAACCCAACGTGACGCTGTTCTGACAAATTCAAAAATTGGTTAGTACTCAGTTTTCTTCTTATATCGTAATCAACTTCTATTTTATATTCTTTTCTCATAGGACCAGTACAATTGTATTGGAATTTCGGTACTAATGAACAATTCGAAATTATTACTCTTGTTGTTAATTTCCAACTAATGCCAACTTGTGCACGGCAAGTTATTACAACTGCATCAGAAACCAGTGTTATATTACCAAAGACACTGATTATCAAACCATCAGTTTTACTTGGTTTTGATGCTCGTAACCAAATTAATAGTATTTGGGGTAATGAATATATTGGTGATGAAGATCTACGTGGTATTCCTACGAATAAATTTAAATCATGTTTTTATGTAGCTGATATAAGAGCAACTGTATCTGCCACATATTATGTATCCGATGTAACAAAATTCCAAGCTTATTTACCAGCAAATGAAAGTATTATATTACAAATAGATGTTCAAATTAGAAATGACGCTGGTCGTCAAGATGCATATACATATAATGTGTTTCGTTATTCACCTAATCCTCGTCGTCGAGAAGAACGTCAAGCATTAGAAACTCCAACTGGTGTATATTGTGCAAATCGTACATCTACATTACCTATACCAACAAATATTCCTGACCGAGTTAGTTCAAATTCAGAAGCTCTTATACCATTAGCAAATACATCAATTTTTAGTACACATGCCCTATATGATACTGAATTTCAATTCAGCCGTTTTGATGTTTGGTTTCCTGATACATCCGGTGGACCACGGTGGTATCATTACAGTGAAATACACGATTTTGCAGTTGGTCTCAGTTATCAATTCAATCATACAACACGTCAATGTAATGTTCGTGATATTACAACAGGTTTTGGTTTTAGTGATGGTGTGCCAGTGGATGGACAACCAAATCTACTACAAATGGGTTCTACGCAACATTTATTTTTAATGGACGATGTCACATATCAATATACTGGTGAAAAACCCTGTCATGATCGTGTTTGGTGTCATGTATGGATCGCTGAAAAATATATGGCAAATAATACGGTTCAACATCGAGAATGGTATTGGTCATCAACTATTAATGGAGAACCTGTAACACGTTCGACTCCTATGAAAATGATTTTGAAAGGCTATATGAATTCTACCTTGGTGTATGCATTTGAAACAAGTAATAGAAACTTATTTATATAACATATATTATTTTTTTTTTATTTTAATTTGCAGATGTTTTTAACTTTCGTCGTCGTCCAATGACAATATTCGAAATCGATTTTGAATTAGCTGAATGTTATAGAGCTTTAGGTCCAGCTCGTAAGAAAGTTTCTTTTTATACAAAATAATTCAATAATAATTCTTTTCTTTCCTCTAGAAAAATTCAATCTTGCTGTTTTATCATTTAAAATTGGAAATGAAAAAAAATATCCAGTATTACAAAATTTAAATTATTTACGTCTCCATATATTTGAAATATTAACCTTTACAATGTTTGTACGGCCTATTCGAATTTCAAATCTTATTGTTGATAAAACTGATGATGATATTTTAGTTACTTTTACATTACTTGACGCACCACCACGTACTGGACCTGTAGAAAATCCATTAAAAGAAGAAGGATTAGATACATTAATTGAGCGTCTTGATTCAGTTATTAATGCAGATGGTCTTGTTTTTCGTGCTAGATATAATACAACACAAGTTACTTTACGTGCACGTTCGAATTCTCTCAATGTTCAACATAAAAGTAAAGCAAAAGAAACAATTAAAACATCAGGTCCAAAAATTACTGGCCTTTGGATTGGATTTGTAGTTGCCGGATTAGTTGTCGGAGCGATTGGTGGATTTTTACTATTTGGAAAACTTGCCAAATAAGAGAACAGCGAATAATTCTTTTTTTTAAATAAACTAAATAGCGTTTAATATTTCTTTTTCGAGTATATTTATTTTTCAAAATATTTTCAATAAACAACAATAGAAAAACTATTTTGTAGAACAACTGATCATCATTATTTATTTAGAAGAAAACAAAACGATGCATTGCTTTCTTCTTTTTTTCTTGTTACTGTGTATAGAATATAAGTAAATATTTTCTTTTCATTTGTTATCATATTTGTTTGAGACAAGACGCTATTAGTAAAAAGGCAAGAGCTTTTTTAATCTATGCTACATCATGAAGATAAGAGCATATCATTTCATTGTTTTCTTTTTATTTTACGGACAACATAGAAATTTTTAAAATTATTAATTCATTTTTAGTCGGCTTTCAATCAAGTTTTTTGAATAATATAATGTTTGCATATTATTATTAAATTTATCAATTAAATTCATGAATGTTATACTAGTGATATTTGCTCCGAGAACAATTTATGTTCAATAACATTTTGAAAAGAACTTCTAGTAATTGAATATCAATTAGAAAGCATAACTTAGCTTTACAGTAGCCCTCAATCTCAATTCTTCAATATTATGAGAGCCACTGTCTGGTGTGCAACATTCGTATTACCATATCAGAGAATAATGTTTTTTTTGTGTGTCTGTGGGCATGTCTATAATCTTAAAAGAAAGACTCTGTGCTGATAAACTGTAATTTGAGAATGAATTAAACTTATATCTTTGATTTCTTCTGTTCCGTTTAGCATAATTTTCTAAATCATATGAAGCTAAATAGTTGTACTAGGCATAGAGCAACCATGTAAGCATTTAAGTAAGAGTCGATTGAAACAAAACGTACATCGAACATGTATCAACAAAATATTGATCTATGATGAATAGTGAAAATGTTTGAAATGAATTCTACTTAACTCCACTTTATTTCAAAGTCGAAGTTTTTCATGTCAGTAGGCGAAGGCATTTTTCCAAACATCCTAATTTTCGAAAAATAATTAACTCAGTGTTTTATCCAATGTGATGGTTGAGAGGCGACACGTCTTCAAAAATCAAGTTAACTCTCATGGAGCTTGTGATTCCTGTACTATGTACTATGTATTTGTTAGAGCCCGTCGAATTCAAAATTTTTGGACCTCTTGAAATAGTTCCCTCCGAAAGAGAAAATCTAGATAACATACTAGCAAATTTATAAGAGCATATCTTAGAAAGCATTACAATTCATTATGCAAAGTTTAATAAACAAAATCTATATGTAATATATTTAACAATAATTAAAAATTGTATTAGCAAAAAAACTATTTAGAAAGTGAATCAAGCAAAAAAAAACAAAAGAATTGTAATGATGATGACTGTCTGTTCAAATGTCAATCATTTATAAGTACTATGAACGAAGATAATTACGTACTTAACTGTACTAATGGTATTCCTGGATGACTATTGAATAATCATAAATATACAAATATATTTTTATCATCGTTGTATGATCGCAAATACGTTTGTCATGTTCATGAAAAATATCAGAATACAACATAAATTCAACAATTAAATAATACATGAGAATAGATGCCATTTTTCTTTTAGCATAGAAAATAAATTACAGAATTCATCAATATTTCGAATAAATCAACACTCAGAGGTTACGATTGACACATGATAACTACAATTATTTCTAATAATTATTTGTTTTTTATCGACAAGTATCTTCTATAGACAATGGAATTCGTAGATATGTTCGAATGGCACTACTACTCTCTCTTTCTGATCTAAAATAGCAAAAATTTCGTTTTTTATTGAAAAATATCACAGCATTGATCTCAGAAAATAAGCTTATTTACTAGCAAAAGAAAAGTATTATATTACAAATAGATGTTCAAAGAATGTCAAGCATCAAAACTCTAGCAGGTGAATTTTATTTAAATTGAGCATCTATATTACCGGTACCAACAAATATTCTAAAAAGGATTCGCTCAAATGCAAACGCTTTAATACTTCAAGCGAATAAAACTACTTTTCATACATTTGGTTTATGATACAGAAATTTAGTTTACTTAGTTTTTTTGATCAATTCGATATACTTAACCCGAAAAATTACACGAGAATACATGATTTTGAAAATAAAAGTCGTGTTAGCTCTCAATATAATCATAAAACACATCAAAATACAGTTCGTGACATAAATGTAGATTTTAATCGCAATCTATTAAGAGTAATTTTTCAACAACATTTATTTTGAATCGATGATATTAAGGAAAAATACTTTTTTTTTAAGAAATAAAAATAGCTATTATTAATTAAATCCACTTACGATAAAATAAATGAAATATTCACAAAGAAGAAGTCTTTCAATCATTTATATCTTCACAAGTTGAAATCCAATAGACTTAACTAGATATGCATTATATTCCGGTTGCCATATCCAAATTTTAGAAATCAGATTTTTTCATAAACTCTGGCGGCGAACACGAAGGTTTTTTAAAATTTGACTAAAAAAGAAAATATTAGGCAGTTTTTCTTTCAGAGAAGCAAAATGGTCACTGTTACAAATTCTTATGACTTGCTTTTATTAAATGAGTCATGAAAATAATTATCTCACACGTGAAATAAAGAAACGCGATATGCAACCGGGCGCATATTTGAAAATCTCGAATAAATCTATCTTTTTCTATTGCAATACAATATCAGATTCATGGTTTCGACTACCAGAAACATTTTAAAAAAAGACCAGTCAGTAGAACGCTGAAAATTACAGAACTGAGCGATTTCATGGAAGTTTTGTAGTGTTTCTTATTTCGAATTCAGAACGACTTTTACTTAAAAAAAATGTTGATTTCTTGATTGGTAACAATCGAAACACACTCCTACCATAAAAGAATCGAATGATCTCATAATTTCTGGTACTCTATATGTTATACTAGAATAGCTATTGAAGAGCGTTCAAGATTTATTCTTTCGAAAATTTTCGTTTGAGATGATTAGACATCTCTGTAATCAAATGTACTTTATTGTACTAGTATTCTCATATCTGTTTGTTTACTAGTAAAAAGAAAGTAAGTATAAATATTTTATAAAGATTTTTTATGATTGAAACTTGGCTTGCAATAAACATTCGAAACAAGTGCTGAAAATATATTGAAATTCATTTTTATGAATTAAACGCATTTTCACTGTCAAGAAGATGAGCTAAAAGATCATTGCCTCTAATTATAACAGTTATTTTTTTCTTGTATGCTTTTTCTGTTGATTCATGTTGTCACTCACATTGAATCTGTCAGAAATGAAAATCAGGAGAAATGTCAAAAATTAGGAGATTTGATAGGTCCTTATCGTATTGCTTTTTTATCTTAAGAAAGCTTTCAAGAAAAAAAACAGTTTTTTAAATAGAAATGTAAATGGTTAAGGCAAAATACTTCATCCATTTCCAACATCAGCAGCAAAAGTCAAAAAGACTTCAGTAAATAATAATCATATGATTCTTTTGATCCTACGAAGAAGTGAAAGAAGATAGAAATGAAATATATTCAAATAAAAATACTTCAACGATTTCTTTTTCAAGAAAAAAATAATAATATCATGTGCTTAATCTTTTGTGTCATTTACCCTTGATGCGTTATGACTCTTTATGAGGTAAAATATTTCTCCATAAATGGAAATAATTTCCCTCATCAACTGATTCTGCAGTCCATTGCTGTATTATATGTCATCATGTTAATGAAAAATAATATGGTGCTCGTATTTCAGGTTGTATTTGGATTGAAGAAAAATCACAACCCATTAAAGTATATTTTAACATAAAGAATAGCATGGAATATCAAGTGTTAATGACGAATCTTTATTATAATATATTACATATGCTAATGTTGTTTGTATAAAGACATTCGAAACTTATTTACAAAAAAATGTATTTACGAAAAAACATGATTAAATGACGCTTGAAAGTCTAGAGATAATTTCAGAAGCTGATTGTATAATATGTGACTGTTAGAGAGCTTTAGATTCAACCTGTGAAAGATGTTTAAGTCCTTCATCAAAAAAGAAGGTCAATCTTCGTGGAAAACATAAAGAATTGAGATAATATATGGGAAGATAGCCCAATGTCTGTGATCTTGTACAAATGACACGATTTTTTCAATGTCGTAGCTCCTTTTTTCTGAAAATTTTCCTCAATTTCTGCTTGAAACATATGACTGTTTTCCAGATAAAGCGGACAATCTTTTCCGCCTTTTCTCAGAGACGCTTCATTGTAGACAATGGCCTTCTTTTTAGAAAGAACATATCAAGATATGGGGCATGACAGAACATGTTTTTTGAATTAACATTTGCCAGTATTATATAGGAGAATATTTTCATAATTAGAGCATCATTTTTGGAGAGCTTTTTGAGACATTGAACTTGTCATCTCGGTTCTCCTCTTAAAAAGTAAAAACAAGGGATTGCCATGCCCTGTATCTGACATGCTCCTTCAAAATAATAATAGGCCTATAGAATGAAGGCTCACAGAAAATTTTGATTTTCTAAATGCGGTTTTTTTTTAATTCTTGTTAGTTGAGTATCTTCTGAAAACATGATGGCATAGAACTGAAAATTTTATGCAATTTGAATGTATTTGGGACAAGACCAATTTTTTTGGGAGGAGTAATAAGAATATGGTATTTTACTTTTAACTGTCTGTAGAATTTGATACCCTGACGTATCATTATTCAAAATAGTCAATGCTACATGTTTTTCAATATTTAAAAATGTATCTTATCTGCGTGTAAGTACATTAAACACATGGACATTCTTCATACGAAATATTTCAATTAGAAATTCTTATGATTAATGATAGTGATAATGGTATTTACATTACATTGACTTAGTTGGACATAGCAATATGCATAGTATCAGTAAAAAAGTGTTTTTTTTTAAAAAGTATTAGATACATTTACTGAACTTCTTGCTTCAAAGTTTGATTCAAATGACATTAAGCTTCGTATCCAATCTCAATA